TCCCATTTTTCCTACAATTTTATTAAGTTTGACCAACCTTTCTAAGTGTGACCCATTTCTCTAAGTGTGAATCTTTTTTCCAAGTTTGACCCGTTTTTCCAGGTGTGACCCATTTTTCCATGTGTGACCCATTTTTCCAAGTGTGTCCCTTTTTCACAGTTTCACCCTTATTTTCAAGTATGTGGCCCTTTTTTCTAGTGTGACCCAATTTTCCAAATGTAACCCATTTAAATAAGGTGACCTTTTCCAAGTGTGACCCATTTTTTCAATTGTGATCCATTTTTTCAAGAGCGACCCACTTTTCTAAGTTTGACCCATTTTTCCTAGTATTACTTATTTTTCCGAGAGGGACCCATTTTTCGAAATGTGTCTCATTTTTTCAAGTGTGCTCCACTTTTACAAGTTTGACTCTTTTTTACAAGTGTGACCCAGTTTCCTAAAAGCGACCAATTTTTTTCAAGTGTGACCCATTTTTCCAAGTTTGACCCATTTTTTCAAGTTTGACCCATTTTTCCAAGTGTGACCAATTTTTCAAATTGTGACCCTTTCTTTCAAGTGTGGCCTATTTTTCCAAGTATGGCTCAATTTTCCAAGTGTGACACATTTTTCCGAGTATAATTTTTTTCTAAGTTTGACACTTTTTCCCAAGTGTGACCCATTTTTCAAAGTGTCACCTATTTTTCCACGTGTGACACTCTATTTTTCAAGTGTGACCTATTTTTCCAAGTACGATCTTTTTTTTTTTTCATAGGTGTGACCTCCTTTTGTTAAGTGTGCTTTTTACCAAAAAACTTTCGGGATGTCTCTATTTCTCGTCATGATAATGAAAATGCGAATTATTGTAAGAACATTGGAAAGTAATATTGTTAATTGAAATGGCCCAGTTATCAATAACAAGGAGAAACTACAGTAAAAACAAAACTTATTATTATTATGTTTGACCTTTCTCTCCGAAAGTCTTTGACGAGTTCTCCATTTAAAAGATGATAGATTTATAGGGATTTATACTAACTTCAGTTATGAAATAATATACTGTAATTAGATAGTAGCACACGATTTTCAAGAGTATGATTTATGCAGAAATAATATAGCTTATGAATGAATTCAATAATTTGTTTTCGAAATATCTATTTTGGTAACGGTGTAAAGACACTATCAAGATAAACAGAAAACAACAGAGGTTGATGTGTAATGTTTTTAGAAAGGAGCTCAGTCATGGTATTTTGATTTATTTAGGCTATATAAAAAATTACCTTTACATTGAAGGAAACCTAACAATAAACGCTTGCTAAAATAGTAAAACGCCAAAAAGATAATAATAATAATCCATAAAGGATCAAGGATGGTTAAGGATGGAGAAGATTTAAACGGATTAACAAACGACGAACTTGAACAATTGAGGCTAAAATTTTCAAGGATGCTCCAAACCCAGACGTACAGTAGCTCCTTTAAAGAGCCAGTGTTCGTGAAACCGATGGTAAAACAGCTGGTTTAACAACCCTGTTCGGTTTGGTTATGGGAACAGAAAGGATCAAGCGTCGTCGAAACCTGCGATGAAAAATCGCATAGAGTATTGGATTAAGGAAAAACGAAATCCTGGCAAACACAATGCATGCACTGGTAGTTACAGGGTTAACCTTTCGTCCTAGAACTAAGAGAGAGGACACTACAGCGTACGGTGACCACGGAATTAGAAAACCGGCTATGACAGCTAAAAAATACAAGGCGGATTTGCGGTGCTTCTTCAAAAGGGCCTGCGTCACAGTCATTGCTAAGCTATCCAAATGGGAAGTGTTGACAACAATCTGTCCGGACACTTGATGGATCTTGTAATAGCAAAAGGTGATCACGGCCAGAGGCAAAAAGTACCAAGTGAAAATTGCAACTCCAGAGTATGCCTGATCGCTTGGAAGAGATGATTCCCATTTAACAGAGCATGTTACACTTGTTCCCTCCATGCCGTATCTCGACCATCCTACCAATGGTGCTACGCTGAAGGCGAGTGAGTAAATCCACGAGCCCAAAATTGTCAAAAGTACCTTTTTCTTATTGAAATATGAATCTTTGGTGAGAGATCTGGTGATAGTTAAATACTTCCCCACTGAAATGGCAACCAAATGGGTGATGGAGACGAGAGCAAGTAGAAATATCATGAAAGCATGAGCCTGACATCCAGCCAAACCAAACGGCCATTCCTGTTGGAAATGTCTTGCAATAGACAATGGAACAGGTATCGCAGAAGAAAGAAAATCACTCACTGCGATACTGAGGATAAGATAGGTCGGTGCTGAGATGCGACGATGAAAATTTCTATAAATGGTAAAAATTACAGCCCCATTAAATATTATTCCTAAAAGGCAGACCAATATCTCAGTGCTCACGAAGATTATGTTCCAGTTTTCAAGTCGTCCTTCGTCCATTTTTCCGAGATATTGTCTCGAAGGTTATGATCTTGTAAAACTAACTCTTCTTTCCTTTGCTTTGCCTAAAAAAGGATCGTTCTGTTTGAGATACTTCTCCTTTCTGTCGGTGAGCGTTTCAACCAACATGAAGGTGTCGTAGGCTTTCTGTGTCGACGTCTTTTTTCTGTGCACAATTATATTGGTATCTGCTTTGTCTGACGTAGCGCGGTATATCGGGAAGTTTATGGGCTTCACTTAAAAATTTCATCACTCAGCCGACCGTTTTCTCCAGAATCAGCAATCTTGGTGCATTTTACTTGTTTTCACATCTGTTTTGACTAGTCATCACTTTACTCCGTCACGTCTGGTGATCAATTTGATAACCTGCAACGATTGCCTCGATATTCATTGGACGAACCAATTAATTGCCTTCTTGTCCGGTTCTCCTTGAATAAAATTAACCATGAGATCCAGCGTTTTACAACTTTCGATAACTTTATTTGACACTGTGCTGTTGACTATTTTCTGCTCCAGTTTAGGAGAAATCTGTTTTAAGCAAAAATATAGAAAAAGTAGATAAAGTAAATATCCTAGCATTGTTAAACTGTGTTAAGAGGGATGAGGATAATTGGTTTTGATCCGTAGGTTATGGGATTAACATCCTTTATAAAAAATTCAAATTTCTCATAAAGCTCATTGTTATTGCTTGCAGCTACATAATAAAAGCGGAAGAAGGCTGCAGTCTCTAAACACATTTCCGTCCTTAATGAAACAGTTTCCATTTCAGATGAATTATATTTTATGTTGTAAGTTTCTTTTTTTTCTCTTTGGAAAAAAATTGGTGGCTTTCACTTAACGTCAAAAAATTTACCTTTTAATTCCTTTAAAACTTTTAAGCTCTTTTTTCTTTCATATTCTCTACATAAAAACTTAGCCTCTATTCAAATTTTGTACACAGTTTCCATTTCAGATGAATTACATTTCACTTTGTAAGTTTCCTTTTTCTCTTTTCTTGGTTTTCATTTAATGTCAACAATATTATTCACTTTTAATCCTACAAAGTTCTTTCTTTTCATATTCCTATATAAAAACTTAGCTTCTAGTCAAATTTTGTAAGCGGTCAATGCTTTGGTCCCGAAATGAAGCATTTTGAGATTTATGATTTCCCAGGCGAAACCCCAGTGTCTCTGAATTGTCACGAGATCAAATTTTTTCATGTCATTTTGAATTTGCTGAACTGAAAATAAATTAGAAGTGATATCAACAGACATATTTGAAGTGAATGCGATTGATCTGATAGTAGAATGTACTGTATTAAATTGTTTAGCTGGAGCTCGATTCCCCACGATAGAACAACAAATTGGCGGCTGCATACTAATTACTGTCATTTTCTCAACCCTGTTTCCGCAATAATCCTGTTTTGAAAAACAGCACAAGGCCATAGTTTAAAATAAAATGTTTCTTTCCGTCTGCTTCTGATGTTGTTCAAGTAACCAAACAGTTCGTTTTATCTTTAAAGTTTGAGACTATTGCTCTTACAACAAAAAAAACGACGATTTCCGTCAAAAAGACCTGCATGTCAAAATGTGGTAGCTATGGCACCATAAAATGACGGGAGGAAACACTTACCACCAAAATTTCCGCAAGAGCTACTGAAGAAATTCCATTTTCAAAATTGAGAAAAAAGGAGAGGTGGAGCGGCATTCAGCCCCCTTGTATACTGCCAAATTATCAGTGTTCTTAGTCTAAGAATTATTATCTCTTCTTTATAAGGCAAATGTGAGAACTTGGTGGCGTTGCAATTGCTCGACAATCACTTTAATTGAAACGCCTTAAGGCAAAAATGAAAAAGACATCAGAGCACAGAAATAGCTTACCATTAATCCGCTGTAATTGTAGACCTTCATTTAATTACTTCGTTGAATTTTTTTTTCCTAAAATAAACCCGTTAAGTTCAATTTAACAGAAAATTGGGAGCTATTACAGTCATGTTTGAGCTAAAGTTAGACCTTCAAAGGAGCTAACGACATCCTGGTTACCAGTGTTAAATTGAGACATCTTTCTTTAAAAAAGAAGAAAAACTCTTTTTAAACAAATGCATTAGATGGATTCAGCAGGAAAGGAAAAAACCCAGTAACAACGGCTTCCAGACCGTGTTTCCCTTGAGTTTAAATTCTAAGGCGGGCGTTCTCTTGCCCGCTTTGGTTTACTTTTATAATCAGCATTTCAATCGAAGCAGAAATCCTCACAATGGAGGGCATATTTTATTAATCCTAAATAACTGCCAATCCAAGATGATCTGTATTATAGATCATCAAATTCCAAAATCCAGAACTAAAGAGCCACGATAGTTTTTATTCTCATCAGGCATAAGAAAATCTAAATCTGTATCTTATTTCACAACTTTTCCAGCTCAGTAGCGTGCTTTGTTTGGAAGCCAGCGCATTTTGAATTTCGGTGCTTGACATACAGCTACCATCGCGCATGTCGAAAAGTGTATTCTTATCTAGTGATATTTAGCCTTTTTAGGAGTTAAAGTTGCAGGAAAAGTACTCGTGGTTCAGTTCAGATTAATCAATCGACTAGATGGCCAAAGTAAATTACAGATATTTACACTATGTTCAAGCCATATCGGTGTACTACAGGGGTACACCAACTTGGCGGCTCCATACTGGGCTCTGTAAATTTGCGCAAAACAATTCGACGAATATCTGCAGTTTTGGAAAACCCGGAGACCTAACACTTGGTAAAGTGTCTTCTTCAATAACCTCCTATAACATCACAACTTCTTGACCTTATCCACTGAACAATTTTCGATTTATTTTTTCGTTGCGTAAGAGTGAAAACGATCTAATGATGGAAAATGGTTCAGCCTAGACCCAGTTGTTCTAAAGGCGAATAACGTTATCCACGGGATAAAAAGCTCAGTGGCGGATCCAGACCTTGCGCTCAGGGGGGTGGGGGGACCGGTTTTGTTTTAAATTGCCCTGCCGGCTTTTCTTCCTTCTGCGATTTCTTTTTACCGAAAATGACAGGGGCCCTGGGCCCCTCCTCTAAATCCGCCACTGAAGCTATCCAGTAGATAATTAAGTGTAAACAAACTACACTATCCACTGAATAGCGATTGATCACGTGGATAGTGTTGTCTATCCTGGGCCAGGATTATAAAGAATAGATAGTCAGCGTACTCCAATTTTATAAACAGTGAGTGGGTGTTTGTAATATGCACTGAAAAATGTTTTCAATGCTTTCGCTTAACGTCTTGTTCTTTACAAAAAAAATGGAAATCGAAATACATTTGAGATGAATGTTTACACTCAGCAAAACCAGTGACTTCCTATTTTGAAGAAGCCGAAATGTTGTGGAACATTCAACGTTCCCTTGATTAAACGAAAACATCCATTAACCAGCAAAAACGAAACATAAATATGGCTCTTTGTAAGCGTGTCTTTAGTTTATAAGATATACGCGCTGCAGACCGCTCCAACCTCCCAGACAGTGTTACCAACCAGAGACAAGTCAACATAAGCCAAACAATTTCGAAAGAAATGTGCCGTTGAAATTAAAATTGAATTATCGGAATTTCTACTTTTCAGTTTCAGTGACAGCAAAGCAGATCTTAATCTTGCAAATAATTAAATATTTCACCTCAGTTTGATAAAACTCTTATGCGGTCGTGTAAGTCTCTAAAAATCAGATTTTTTTAATGTTGCTCTCGAGTGGATTAATACTACCTTAATTTCCAATAAACTTGATACGAATAAAACATCACCAAAAAAAGCTACAGAATAACGAGCAAGTCTTTATTAAACATAAGAAAGGCTGGTTTCACTTGTTTGTATATTTTATCAAATCGAGGTGTTCTTGAGATTTAAGAAAATGACGAATTTGATGAATTTAGCCCATTTATATCAAAATGAAAACTCCGTAAACTTTTCACGTTTTTTCCTTAGCCTCCTGACTCTTTGATTTAAGAAACACACTAAAGCGAGAATGAATCAAACTCGATCCAGTATGTTTACTATCAGCTTCGCTCTTGGTTTCTGGCAAAACTGAAAGACACACGATTTAAATTATTGCAAACTCAAATTATGAAATATTCAGTTGTGGTCATTCGATCTCGTTTAGCAATATTCATTCAATTATATGACAAAATTCGAAACCCATGCAGTGGTCGTAACTTTCTCTTTTTCGGCCTCTTATTATTTCTCCGTAATTATGATTTCACTTAGACTGAGAACGGTATCTGCTATTGCGCTATGTGTTTTAGGTGTGTGTGTGATATTGAACACAGTAATGTTTTTGGAGACTGCTAACTCAGTGAAGAAAGGTAAAGTGAAACTCTTTTCTGACATGCATGATTGTCAATAAATTTCACTGTACAAAGCTATTCAATCATGTCTATGATAACGCATAATTCTGGTTCAACTCCATTCTAACATGACTAAATCATTCTGAATCATAAATTAGAACTAACCTGCTCTCATGTGACAATCTTAGGATCCGTGCTTAAAGCTGACCACGCGTATTGAAAACTTGAACATCTGCTTTGCATGTTTTTTACTGACGTTTCTTCTGTTTTAAACAGTCTCTCCCATGCAGAAGACACTGAATGCTTTACAAAACTCGAGAAATATAAAGGTAGGCTTGTCTTTTGAACAGTGTCGATATACATTCATGGCGATTTTATCAATGTGTCTGTTCATGGCATGTGAAGTAGAGTAATATAACACGTTCACAATTTTCACTTAACCGCGGTGTTACGTACATAAATAGAATAATAGAGCTAAGAATTCCTTCCGTTTGCCCAACTGTAGGACAAATTTAACGAAATTCTCTCTCCGTTTCCACGGTCCCAAATTATCTAATTCTCAATTCTCTCCGCACTAAAATTCAAAGTGCCTCTAGTATTGCTATGTTAACCTCTAAACTTAAGTCATTCATCTTGGTATAAGTATATTTACTTCTCTTAGGGTGCTTGTGTGTGCTTTTTTCACTTTTTCAGTCTTCCTTTGCTTTTGCGCATTTGCGTGTTAAGTTTTGCTTAAGTATTGCTTATCTTAAATTATAATCATTTTGTGTGCCGATATGATCAGTATTTTTATTATTTTGCTTGAAGTCTTAGGTACCCTTAAGGTAGGTCCTTTACATAAGGCTTCCTTGCCTTATAGATCAATATTTTTTTATAATATAAATGGCAAAAATAAAACAAACAATTTGAATTTTTAATTTGCAATCTCACGTAATTAAAGAACTTTTTTTTATTTCAGCAAGACAAATTGTCTTCTGGCATAGAGAAAAGGCAACGTAAACTAAAAAGGCATCTGTCTGATTATTGCCGAGTAAATTATCATAAACAAGGACTACCGGGCCTGTACCGTTTCCAAGTAATCGAATCTCCTCAAATCGTTTTTTGCATGGTCCCTAAAGTGGCTAGTCGTCAATGGAGGAACATATTTAAACAACTGCGACTGCGCAAAGAGCAAATGCGAGCCAACCTGGATCAATACAACGCAACAGACATCTGCAATTACCTGACGAAATCATACAAGTTTATGTTCGTGCGCGAACCTTTTGGGCGTTTGTTGTCAGCTTACAAGGATAAGTTCGTTTACACAAGGCCAGTTGATCGACATCTGCTCGAAATTTACGGCAGAAAGATTATACGGGATTTTCGTCCAAACGCCACCCAACAGGCATTGCGAACTGGCCATGACGTCACTTTCCCAGAATTCATAGAGTATATTCTGAAAGAAGGTATTCATGAGGGTCTAAACTGGCATTGGAATACGTATGACGATCAGTGCAGGCCTTGTAGTGTGAAATACAACTTTATAGGACGCTTTGAATATCTTCCCCACAACGCGAATTATGTATTGAAGAAGGCTGGAGTATATAACTTGCTAAAGTTTCCGAGTGAGAATAATTATTCCAGGAGGCGTGATGAGTTGCTAAAGTATTATTCCCAGATCCCTCTGGGGTGGATTGTTCAGCTGCGGAGAGTTTACCACAGCAATTTCGAGATGTTTGGTTATCCGTTTCCAGGCCCCCTCCAGGCCTTGTTTAAGAACGTCACTGGTCAGATTGGTAGAACCGACCAAGCTGAAGTGTCTGATCAGGTTGGTATAACTGGTCAAACCGGTATAACTCCTTAGAGTGGACAGGGTAGACAGTTTAGTATAACTTGTCTGACAGGACAGACTGGTTTGCTTTGTTTAATTGATCAGACTGGTAAACCGTTAGGAAGAGGAATTGCCCTCTGAAGTTGTTGTATTCTTGGGTTTCACCCACGTGACCAATAGCTTAGCAACGGTTACTATCCGCCATCTTGGTGTCCCTCAAGCGTAAACAAACCGTATCCAAAGGAGAGTTCATGTGAGAAGGAAGAGATGGTTTTATGCTTTTTTTTTTTGGCTGTTCGAGCAAAAGTGGACATCATAAAGGCTTAGGGTTTTTTGGTATATCTAAGATTATTACAAATCAAGGGGAAGAACAGGAGGAACTCACTACTAGGAGGAGAAATTAGTGGATTTCTGGGGTGAGTCGCGGCGACGCTACAAACAAGAGAGTGTTAGAGAGTGAACGAGTTTGTAGCAAACGCTTCGCTCAGAAACTACCGGAACAGAGCGGCTTTGGTCGAAAGACTGGTGAATAATTAGCTTTAAACAGAAACATAGAACTAAATCAGCATTATATTTGATACATATTATGCCGAAATAAAGGGTGAATAATTAGCTTTTAAAATACTGAACAGAAACGGAAAGTCGAAAGACTGGTCGGCAAAAGGATCAATTAAAATTAAAGCTACTGCTTTAATTTTAGTTTGGCATAAAGCTGAACCATTTCCTCTTTCGAAGGCACCGATGCGCGCTGCATACGTTGAGGCGCTGGCTGATGCAGTCCCAGAACTAGAAGCTGCGGCATGGTTCGACGCTTGCGGCTGTTGTAGATCCTCAATTTTCTGGTTGAGCTTTTCTTTGAGCTTGTTAGCCGATGAAAAATCGATGTTCTGGGCCCTCGCATCCGGCACTTCATTGACATATGTCGACAAAATCCACGAGTATTTTACCTGTGTGCAAGCGAGCTTGCCATGAATTCGCATTTCGTTAAAAATTTTTGGCTTATTATTTTTATGAGAACGTTGTTATTTACAAGTTCAGCATTTGGTGCATGGCTGAAATGACTTCCTTTTGAGAATACTGTTCAAAGACTTCTTTTAAAACAAGAAATCATCAAAGGAAAAATATTGTCAGAAACAGAAACAAAGAACTAAATCAGCATTATATTTGATACATATTATGCCGAAATAAAGGGTGAATAATTAGCTTTTAAAATACTGAACAGAAACGAAAACATAAAAATAACAGGACTTTGATCAATTTATTCACATGTTCGAGGAGAACTGTTAAACTCTATACACAACCTTTCGGGATACTACCTGGTTAAGTAACATGCTTTATCTTCCCGGTTAAGGTAGAAGTCATTCGAGGCATATGGGACATTCGAGGCATTCGGGTCTCTAAAAGGTATTGTAAGCCAATCAGAAATGGAATAAAAAAGACTCTTTTAAATTAAGAATGATTTCTGACTTTTCTGAATCACTTTGATCGTTTACTGCACGTTAGACAAATTTCTCGACCTTATAAAAGTACATATAGCGGAAAGAGCCTCTCAAACGATAAGTGGGATTTAAAACTGGCACATGCCGGCATGACTTAGAGAATTCATTTAAAATCAAGTCTGTTACTTCAGTCCGAAAGTAAAAGACTATAATTCCACAGTAGTAGGACCGGCGTTCATTCCTTACGCTTCGTAGTACGGAGGAGGAGCCTGCATCCTGGGCATTCAACCTGCTCGTTGTGGAGTTTGCGCATATGCTCCGTGAACAGGATTCTCTGGCATGCCTGGAGCTGAGTTATACGAGGCACCTTGACGGTACGGTAGGGATGGTGAGGCCCTACTGCTATAGAGAGCTTGAGATGATACAACCCATCGATTTTTATTTGTCTACAGGAGATGGATCACAGACTACGATTGCAACTATGACACCGTCCCCACAAGGGCTCCGATCACGGTACCCACCATGCTTGCTGTTGCGAAACAGCATGAAAAGAAAATCTTTCAACAACAATATTTGAGATATTTGAGATTAGAGACAAACTAGTGAATCGTCTTCAAAGTTTAATAGTCGGTACTCATAGTTATGTTTTAGATCAACAAATACTTGGACCAGTACAGATCTTTGTCCCGAAGGGACGATATCCACAAGCTCACTTCCATCATAATACAGATCCTCTAGGATTGGCAGTTATTTTGGAATAATAACGTATGCCTTCCACAGTGAGAGTTTCTGCGACGATTGAATAGCTAATTAGGAAAGTAATTCATAGTCGACAAGAGAACAGCCACTCTAGACTATTTACTGAAAAAGAAAAAAATGGTTTGTGAGCCGTTGTTTTTCTTTTTTTTTTTCCTCTCTCTCTTGTTGGATCCGTCGATCATCTTTGTTTAAAAAGTTCGTTTTGAAAAGATGTCGCAATTTAACACTGGTAACCAGGATGGCGTTAGCTACGTTAAAGATCCAACTTTAACCCAAACACGATTTTTAATAGTTCCTAATTTTCTGGTAAATTGAATTAAACGAGTTTATTTTAAGATAAAACGTTTCAATGAAGCAATGCAATGAAGGATTCACGATTGCAGCTGATTAATGGTACGGTTTTTCTGTGCTCTGATGTCGTTTTCTATTTCGCCTGAAGGCGTTATAAGTAAACTTATCGTCAAGCAAATGCAACGTCACCAAGTTCTCTCATTTGACTTATAAAGAAGGGATAATAATTCTTGTACTAAGAACACTGATAGTTTGACAGCGTACAAGGGGGCTGAATGCCACCGTACTCTCCTTTTTTCCAAATTTTGAAAAGGGGATTTATTCAGTAGCTCTTGCGGAGATTTTGATGGCGAATGTTTCTCCTCGTCATTTAATGTAGCCATAGCTGCCACATACTTTGCACGCAGGTCTTACTGACGGATCACACACAGTTTTTTGCAGTGTTCTCATGGGAGTAACATTTGCAAACTTTAAAGATAAAGCGAACTGTTTGGTTGCTTGAACAAAATTCGAACACTAGTAAAGCAGAGGGAAAGAATCAATTTTGTGTGTGTGTTTTTTTTTTTGTTTTGTTTTTTGTTTTTTTTTCTTCAATCTATAGCTTTTTGCTTTAAAAACAGGATTATTGCAGGATTAGTGACGCCGTTTTCGGATCGAGCGGTCCGGGTTGGCGTCATGGCCGGGGACATTGTGTTGCGTTCTTAAGCAAGACACGTAACCCTCACAGTGCCTTCTCCACTGACCCAGGTGTATAAATGGGTACCTGCCAACTTAATGCTGGGGGTACTAGATCCTATCCAGGGGGGAGTAGAAATACTCCTAATCGCTTC